GGTTTCTGCTTTTCTTTTGGAGTGGCTCTTGAGGGTTTCTGGCCTGGTTTTGAAGTTTCTGATGGGAGGTTTTGCTGTTCTCTTCACAGTTCATGGCATTAAGTGGACATGCAGCAATGGAAACAGCAGTTCAGGGTTCTCGGTGGAACAGCTCGTGCAGCAGATCCTCGATAGTCACCAGACCAAACCGCAGCCTCGGACACACAACTGTCTCTGCACTGGTACCTTGGGTGAGTACCTTGGGAGGGCACAAGATTATCCCAGCTTAATCCAGACTTAGAGTAGCATTTGTAGCATTAAGGACACTTAAAATGCTGTATGGTGAAACATTGAGACACGGTGAACTTGGAGGTGACAGAGGTCTTGAGCATAAAAAGATGCAGCTGGAGCTTCTGGAAAAAAAATGCCAGCACTTTGTAATGTGCAAGTGCTAATAAAGGCTGTCTATGTGTGACCTGCTCAAAAAGGCATATTCTCTTCCACATGCTGAAGTTTTGTTCCGAAGCCTCAAAATTTGATGTTCTTCCAACTTTACCCTCTGAACTCCTTGCCCTGCTGCCCACTTTGCTGAAGAAAATGGGCTCGGGTGGTTAATTACAAGGTATCACTGGGATGAGACAGGTTCTGTTTAGGTGTCACGAAAACACAGGAGACCTCTTTCCTGTTAAAGATGGTTTTGCTTTGAGTGAGACTTTGACGGCAAGAAACAGCATCCTTAGCATTAGCATTTCATACAGAGAGCAGGAAGCTGGGCGATTCACTTTTCCAACTCATCTGCTTTATAGACACCTCTTCCTAGTGCTTTGGTCAAGTGAAATATATGACACATTAATTGGTCTTTAGCAAAATGTATAAAGGAAAGCTGTCAGTGCTTCAAAGGGTTTATTTATTCTTCTTTTCTTGGGCAGTTGCATTAAGTAAGAATGATGACCTCTGAAATACCTGAGTTTGGATTAAAATTCAACCCTTAAGGCTCAGCATTTGATCCAGGCTTGCAGATTGGAACATGAATCCTTTTATTCTTCCCTTTGATGTTTTGTCTTGTGCTAAGTCTGCTGCATGCTTTTTAACATAACAGTACGGCTTTGTTTTGTAACGGCTTGCACATTGACACACACAGTCCCACACTCCTTACTGTCATCTGCAAAGACCGCAGCGTGAAAGCCTCTCCCTTGTTCCTGTTCATCTCTGTACCTAGGAGAATAGAGACATTTAATATTGCATTTAGTCTCAGAAGCACTGTCCTGAACTACTTTAAGTGACCTGATTCAAATCCTGAGCACATAATAGAGAAGTTCCCCTTCAAGGGCAAAGAACAAAAGATTTAGCAAATTGCAGCAGCTACGCAGACGCCTTATGTTACCCAGAAGATGGCATTTGTAATTGTAGCTGTTAGCTATAAGGAGGAGGTTTCTTTCCCCCTTTAGTCATTATACAGTACCATAATTAATGTTCTTACCTCGTTCTAGGGGAAATGAATCAATTAAGGAAAGAAACATCAAAAATTCATGGGCTCTTCTTTAAACAACAGAAGCAGTCCCTGCACCAGAGTTTGTGGCTAAGATGCCTTTGCAGACAGAATTGTTTACTTCATCCTCCCTGATTTCCAAGCGCCTAGGAACTCAGGTGATGTTCCTCTTCTGTCAGGCCGGTAAAGGCGCCAGCTGGCTGAGCTCGTGGAGGGTTGTCTTCTGATGACCTTTGCTTGAGCATTCTTCAGCCACTCTGACACTGATCATGTGCTCTGTGTGCGACCTCTCAAAGTACAAAATGTTTATCCGTCAGCATACAACAGCTCAGAACCATCCTTATGGGAGGGAAAGCTTGCTTTGTGCTGGCTAGTGCACTGCTTCTTTAATAGCTTGATTGGCAGCTGTAATAGACACAATGATAAGAAGAAGATAAGGATTGCAGTCTAGGCAGCAGGGTGATGCCAGGGGCGGGAGCATGATATGGCATCTGTCACCTCTAGATTACCAGTCAGCATCCAAGCCACGAGAACAGTTGTCAAACCACTGACATGAGGCAGTGAGAGCCGAGCATCTGTGCCGCAGGGGGCCTTGTTCGTGGTGCAGGTGAAGCAGGGCCTGCGAGGCAGAAACCCTCTGCCACAGCTGACAGCAACAGCCCTCGCTTTGCAGTCTTTGCACCGCGATCAGGCACGTTTAAGTAACTCCGAAACTTGTCATAGGTGCCGATTCCTCTCCTCCTAATGTGCTGCCTGATAGGGCAGGGAGGAAGGGGGTGGGTGCTGCGTGGCCTGAGGGGAAGGGTGCACACACGCCTGTTTGGAGGTTGCTGCCGTTGCATGCAATGGATCTATGCATCAGATGGAAGGGGAGCTGTAAATCTGGCACTGGCGAGAGATTTATTTTATTTCCAGGGTCTCTCTTGCTCTCTTGTATGTGTTCTCACTCACACGCGTGTGCACAAGCACAGCTCTCCTTTGCTACGGCCATGAGGTATGCAACTAGTGTCGTCTTAATTTTGTATTTACTGAACGGCAAATGTTGTTTTCTGACACAGGGGCAGGAAGCAGTGTGCATCACAAGTGTAACAGTGCCAAACATCGCATCATATCACCAAAGGTCGAACCAAGGACAGGTGGGTACAGCGCTCATTCGGAGGTACAAAATAACGATGTCTCTGAAGGCAAGAACGAGCACAGTCATGGCAAGGCCTCCAGCCGAGAGAAGAGGAATGGCAAAGTGGCGAAGCCAGTGTTGCTCCATCAAAACAGCACTGAGGTTTCTTCCACCAACCAGGTGGAGGTCCCTGACACGACCCAGAATTCTCCTGTGTCCATCAGCAGTGGATTAAATAGCGACCCGGATATGGCGGATAGCCCGGCCGTCACTGGTGTGTCCAGTATGGCTGTAGCATCAGTTATGGGAAGCTTGTCACAAAGTGCCACCGTATTTATGTCGGAAGTCACCAGTGAAGCTGTGTATACCATGTCACCCACCTCCGGCCCAAATCAACACCTTCTGTCCTCAGATGCAGCTGCACAAGGACTGGTACTTGCTGTCAGTTCAGATGGACACAAATTTGCTTTTCCGACAACCGGCAGTTCAGAGAGCTTGTCGATGCTACCCAGCACTGTCTCCGAGGAACTTGTGCTCTCCACAACTTTAGATGGAAACAGAAAAATTCCAGAAACCACCATGAATTTTGACCCAGACTGTTTTCTTAACAATCCCAAGCAAGGGCAGACTTATGGTGGAGGAGGTATGAAAAGCGACAGCATCAGTACCAACATAAGGCAGTCACCCACAACGGAACGTAGCTTCAACTTCAACACAACCCTCACAAAAGAAATTAAAACTGAGGACACCTCTTTCGAACAACAGATGTCCAAAGAAGCATTTTCCTCCACTTCTGCATCTAACACTCTCACCCTCACTACTGGTTCAGGTTTGCTTCCATCTGGAGGAGGTCTGAGCCCAAGTACCACCCTGGAGCAGATGGATTTCAGTGCCATTGACTCCAACAAAGACTATTCTTCCAGCTTCAATCAGACCGTCCAGAGCCCTCACGTTCATCAGACCCCTTCCCCCAGCTTCTTTCTTCAGGATGCCAGCAAACCTCTTCCCCTTGAGCAAAACACTCACAACAATTTGAATGACACCAGTGGCTCATTTGTGAACACGTTAGGAATCCCCAGTGTGAAAACAGAGTCCTCCTCCCAAACCACTTCCAACTGTAACGGCACAGTGGAAACCAGAATAGAGTCCAGCTCTTCTCTCCAGCTCATGCAGTTCCAAGCAAACTTCCAGGCTATGACTGCAGAAGCGGAAGTTCCCATGGAGACCTCCCAGCAGGCAGAAGGGAATGAAAATCTACTAAAATCAGGGGATCTTCAAGCCTGCAGCACAGAACACTACTTGCAGCCTGAGGCCAACGGGGGCATCAGGAATGGGAATAATCTCCCTATTCTCCAAGGAAACATGGTACAAGGACTCTATCCTGTGGCCCATCCCAGCTTAAATAACTCCTCCAACATGGAGCTTAACTTGGACCACTTCGACATCTCCTTCAGCAACCAGTTTTCTGATCTAATTAATGATTTCATATCGGTAGAAGGTGGGAGCAATGCTCTCTATGGACACCAGCTGGTCTCAGGTGACAGCGCCGGACTGTCTCAGCCTGAAGACAGTAACAGAGCAACCTACAACCAGGCTGAAATGTGCATTCCTTGCTGCAGTCCTCAGCAAGCCAACATGCAGCTCAGCAGCACAGAGAATGGAGCCAGCACGATGGCGTACATGCATGTGGCTGAGGTGGTCTCAGCAGCTGCGGCACAAGGCACTTTGGGGTTGCTGCAGCAGAGTGGGCGCTTGTTCATGGTGACAGATTATTCACCAGAATGGTCTTACCCTGAGGTAAGTCTAGGGCTTTTACTCATTAACGTTTACTGCTCTATCTTCCACTGCTTTGTTAATAGGGGCTCCCAAGAACTGTTTTGTTAAAGCTTTGACAAGGCTTTGAAAATGCTTCTTTTAGGAGTTGAAGCAGCCAAGACCATTTGCACGTCTAAGTGTAGTTTTAATTAAGCACTTTGTTACCCTGACAGGGCCCTTTCTTCACTCAGGAAGCATTGGAACAGAAATGCTTTGTTTCGTGGAAAAGCCAAGTATTTCCTACGTGATGGCTTCATGGTGCTACCTCACCACATTACAGCGATAGTTTGCAAACTGGAGCTGATCCTTAAATCTGGCTCTGGTGTTCTCAGTAGAATAATTCCTGACCTGCATTGCCTTGATGAATCCAGCATTTACCTCCATCCCACAGACTGCCCAAAACCAGTTGCATGCACCACAAGTTAAAAATGTCAGCAGCACAGACTTTTCTGACGTGAAGGAATGATGGAGGGAAGAGGCTGTTTTGAGCCAGTAATGGAGGGAGAGGAAGGTTATTTGGAATAAGAAAAACAGTCCTTTGTGGTTTTTAAGCCCTGCCGTGGAGCACTGTTGTTCTCTTACTTTATGGATGTGTGTAGTAACTGCTCAGGAAGAGGTGTCTCTGTTCCCATTGACTCGCACTGTCTGATTTTCAGTCTTGTAATACCATCCCCAGTAATACATCTGACACCACTGGATGGTGAGTTTGCTGGTGGATGAGGCAGCAGAAATACGCAATAATAAGCAGATGAGGTGGCTTCACCTTCAGCTGAATGATCCCGTGGCAGCTCCAGGACCACGGTGTTACAGGAGCAGGTGATGAGTGGGTATTCAGTGGCTCTAGGAGTTCACATACTCTGCAGTATGGGACTTGGTGTGAGAACATGGATGTTCGCTCTGCAGATGGAAAGAAACTGAGGTCACCACCAGCATGCAGGAATGGCCAACGGGCGCTGATGAAAAGCCTCCCTCAGGAGTTTCTGCCTTCCATTTAGTTGCTCTCTCTCCAGGCAAGTCCGTCATGGCCAAAGATATGGCGGTGCAGGCTCAGGCAGGGGGGGCAGCTGAAGGCATCCTCACCCACCATGTGCTCGGTCCGCAGCTGACAGGGACTGCTCAGGGCAGGAGATGCCCAGGGGCCTCACCTCTGCCAGCTGCCAAATCCAGGGTCCTCTCTATGAGACAAGGTGGTTGCTGATCATCTACCACTCACTAGCTGGAGTTTTTCTTGGGGGAAAAATGGGTCTGAATGCCAGTTTTATGCTTCTCTGGAGTATCACACAAGCTGAAGTGTCAGCACTGTGAAGGTCAGTACTGGTGTTGTCTAACAGACGGGTTAACAAGGAACAATAATGCAGTAATGGTCCGTTAGCAGCTGAACCCATTTAGGCTTTGTTTGCAAGAAGCACAGTATTTCGGGGGCATTTGGCTATGCTGGGCTACAGACACTGCTTCTGCTGTACCTGTTGTCCAGCCCCAGTCAGTCTCACTCTTGCTTGCTTGAGTAGGTGGTCCCAGAAATCAACAAAAAAACCTTAACAGCAAACCCCCAGCCTCTCTGGTGCAAATCTTTATTTTTTGCTGCTACCATGGAAACCTTATTTTTGTTATCCGTTGCTACACTAACGAATTGTTCGACTCTTGCTGGCAGAGCTTGTTTTGCATCTGGTCTGTACAGACTGCAGGCCTCGTGCACCTGCACAGACTCACCAGAACGTTTTTCAAAACCAGCACGGGCCCAGGGTTGCTTTCTGCTCGCGTGGCTTCACCGCTGGAGCTGCAGGGCTTGCCCG